ATCAAGTAAACAAAATATAGAAGATTTTTAGGTGGGAGAATGGTAAACTGCTTGATAGAATTTTACTTACCAGAATAGTCTAGTAAAAATCTTCTTCTGTAGGATTTCTCCTTTATTTTTAACAAAAAAAGGAAAGGAGTGTGCTGCAAATACAGTATTTGCTTCTACATAGTGGAATCGGCTCTATATCATATTAAATTTTTTAAAAAATCCGATTGTGCATACTGAAATACTGGTGTTTTCTAGCACTTACTAACACAAGGGGTGCTCTTTTGGACATGAGGGATTTTATCGACACTTTTCAGTTTCTGAAGGGGCAGGTATTACATGGAAGGTCTGATGTTTAGCCTTCCATGTGGAGTTGTAATTCGGGTGTGATATCCTCCACCCATTCAACAAATATTTATTGGGCAGTGAGTATGTGCCATGGACTGTGTTGTTTTGAGGCTGTCAAAATGACTGGATATGAAACTATCGGATAATTTCCAGGCTTGAGATCAGTAGGCATAGGGTCCTTAAGACAGTACAAAGAAACAGGTGAAATTAATTTAAACAATACATTTTACTTAAACTACCATATCAAAAATATTATAATTTCAACATGTAATCAATAAAAACTTTATCCATGAGATATTTTACATCCCTATTTTTCTGGTACCAGCTCTTTGAAATCTGGTGTGTATTTTCTACATAGCACATCTCTGTTTGGACCAGCCACATTCAGGTGCTCAACAGCCGCATGTGGCTAGTAGCTTCCATACTGGACAGTGCAGATCTGAGACTGTCTTCTCTACCCTTCCTATTCCAGACGAAAAATCATGATAAATCGTCAAGCATTAAAATTCCTCTGTTAAGAATCTCTAGCCACCTGTTAACCTCATTTGTTTTCAGATCTTGTTCCTGGTGGAGTAGATCTGGTTGCTCTATCGCTAAAATGACTCTTTTCTGCCTTTATCCCTTTTCACACACCCCTCATCTGCCAACCCACCAACACTACCTGGTTCAAGAGCTGAATCCACTTCCTCTCTCAGGAAGCCTTTACCACATCTTGCTCTCTGCTCTCCTTGTACTAAGATTGATAATGAGGTTACCAGTCAATATCTACCCGTGGATGTAGCACCTGGTTCACATCATCTCCTCAACGAGAATCCTTTAACTCTTCTACAGCCTCTCTTTACAAGAGGTCAGAATGAGTGTTCATTGATTGGCTGACCAAGATTTGGTATGCTAAATTTTATAGAAGCATGAATAAATTAAACCATTGCACTGTATTTCTTATTCTATGTAATTTCACTGTTTCGTTCATTCATTTATCTACCAATTCTTATTTGAGCACTTATTCAGAGTCGAAGACTGTGCTAGGCAATGGCAATACAGTATTTCCAATACATCATGTGCATCTTTCAACGTCAGCACAATGTCTCACTCTGAATTTCACAAATGTGGAAACTGAAGTTCGTAAAGTTTCAGGAATTTACCTGGGTTGGGGAACTTATTGGTGGTGGAGCTGGGACGAGAAATAAGGTCTTATTTTTTCTCTACCACATTATGCTTCCTCTGCATTGTGATCCCTGGAACCAGTGCACGAGTTTACAAATCCTGTGTAACAATCCTGGATTTTACAGCATACAGCACAGCTAACTAACACCGTTGCATACTGGCACCAATTTTCTGCTTGAAAAATTTCTGTCTCAAGCAGTTTTCCTTTTCTTTACTGTGGCAGATTTTCAAAAGTTCTGCAATTTTCATGAGCAAATCTTAACTTGTGGATTAGAAGCCTTTAGAAGGAAGACAACATGTTCCCAAAAGTTAATTACAGATTTCATTTTTCCATAACTTTCTGCTTCCAGGATTCTGACTCATCAGTCAGTACAACTTTGGCGTGCTCTCTCCAACCGGAAGGGCTGCACGGAAATTTGACTAATGCCATTTCAAGGGTAAAATTCAGTTTAGCCTGGAGCTAGGCCTCAAAAGATGAAAATCCAACTTCACAACACTGTCTTCCACCTTGACAGGTGACAGAGTAAGCAGAGTTTGTAATGTTGGCAGTGTAAGTAGTATATATAATATTCTTTACTTAATATCTGAGTCTATATACACAGCTATGACATTTCTTAAACAAAATCTACTTAACTCTTTTCTGCTTTGAGTATTTTGAAAAAGTGTTTTCCTTAATTAGGGTGCTATTTTTAAAGCTGTTATTGTGGTAGAATATTATCTTCACAAAATATGTTTATTAAAGTATTTAAAATGATATATTTTAAGGAATAGTCTTTGTATTACTGGATCTGAATAACTTGAGGTGCTTATTCCTGGTGTTCACCCCAAACATACTGGATTTGCATTTTTAACAAATCTGTCAGATGGTTTTTATGCACATGAAATTTTGAGAACCTCTGATTTGATGGAGAGAAGAGTATATGTTTAAAAATATTTGTGTCCCTCAAGACACTGATGTTTTCCTTGCCAGCTGTTTTTCCATGTTATGTTACTAGCTGCAAAATCATCTGCTTTAGAAAGCAGTAACTTCTAGTAACGTCTATGTTACTAGAGGTAAAATCAAGCCATGAAATTTATTGACATTACCAGTTATTCTGAAGATTCTAGCTGAATCATTTGCTCAGTTAAATGGATGCATTTATTTAGTTTATTTGAATTTCAATCAGTTAAGTGATCAATAACTATTCTTGGAATAGCTACTTGAGTAATGCTCTGCAGAGAATGCTTACTAATCAAATGCATCACAGAGCTGAGTTTCCAGAGCATGTTGCTAACACTGCCATCATACTGTCAGCCCATTGTATTTACCACTGTGCTCAGTTGCTGTGTCTATCTACCTCCACGTGAATTCCATGACGGTTAGGCAACAAATCTTACTCATTTTTATGTCTCCAGCTCCCAGGACCATCCTTGGTATGTTATAAGCACCTATTTTATGTCTGTATTTGAATTTTCAAGGAACAAATATGTGGCGGCACAAACATGCGTGACCAGAATATGTTGCAGGAAGTAGAATAGAACGATCAGTGGTTGAATTTGAAAACCAGATGTGTTCAGAGAACACAGGTGACTCTAGAGAAATGTTCAAGGAAGGAAGTCTAGGTGGGTTTCAATTTATGCTTATTATTTTAGTTAAACGTAATGAAAATATACTCTATTAAATGTCATATGATACTTTTCCACATATTATTTCATAAGAATTTCCCAATGCTATTAAAAATTCTCTAAGCAGCATCAATGATTGTATAATGTTTAATTGAATTAATGTACACGTTTTGTACTAATCCCCTCAGGATTTTTCCTAATGTTTTCTTTTTTTCTCTCATAAAGATTGCTTCATTGAATATCATTTTACACATTTCTTTTCTGTCTTTGAATTACATTGGGTCAAATCATATTCACGTATTTTTGAGGTTATTTAAATATGAGATCAAAACACTTTACAAAGTCATACATATATCTTTCTATATATGAATGCCTGAATAGGGCATTTCTTAAAGATATTTCTTAAGGGAATTGCTTGAAATTTAGTGATTTCTCATAGAAGTGACATTCTAAACTGCAGTTGGGTTCCCAGACTGCTTTCTGAATTTTATTTTATCCTTAGAACTGGCTGAAATATTACTTATAATCCCAAATCCTACCTTACTCCAACACATTCAAGTATTGAAACTTGAACCCGATTGCAGAATCCAAGCCAGGTCCAGAGGCTTCACACTCCACATCCTTTGAAGCTTAAAGACGTCTCTAAATCTTCACTTCCTCTGAGCCCCAAGGGAGAAGAAGGGGAGAGGATGTGGTTGGTGGGTGGGATCTCCCAAGGCTGGGTGGTCTGGTCCCATGGCAGCTTGAGGAGGGGCTGGTAGCAGGGGATGTGTGTAAGGATAGATGGAGTGGCAGTGTCTACGAAGGGGATACTCATGCTGGTCACTGCACATTCAGGAAAATAAGCTTGATTATATTGGACCTCGACAAATCTGGATTTTACTCTGTAGCGGTGGGGTGCTGTTGAAAGTACTTTCTTTCCGTGTTTCTGCATGGTTCAAACACATGATTGAAATGAAATTGAAAAGGAAAAGACTCACTGTGTGGATTTGTTAATGCTCTGCCCGGATGCCCTTTGGTCCCTTTTACTGCTTCTGTGCACCCCTCCCCCAGCTTCTGTGAGCTTTCTCTCCTCTTTTTCTTTTAACAGCTTTATTGAGGTATCTTTGAAATATAAAAATTGTATATTTTTAGAGTGTACAACCTGTTGTTTTGATATATGTATATATTGTAAAAAGATCACCACAGTCAAGCTAATTAACATATTCACCCACCTCTACATAGTTACCATTGCGTATGTGTGTGTAATACCACCTGCACCTGCCACTCTCTTCAGAGGACTGCCTTGGGGCTGTGGGAGCCACTTTGCCACCGGCATGGGGAGCCTGGAATGCTTGGGACCTCACTTGGCAGCTGTTAGCTAGTGACTGCCCCTGGTTCCAAAAGATTGAAAGCTCAGCACTCTTGCCTTGAGTAGGAAAAACGGTGAAGTGTAATTGCACTTGAGAATTCCCCGCAGGACCAGGCTGAGACTGCTCCAGGAAAGACTGCCTGAAAGTCGCACTGTGCTTGGCTCCTTCCCTGCCTTTAGCTGCTCCCTCAACTCCTTTTCCAATGTCTGCTGGGAGCACTTCCGCAGTAAATGGTTTGCTTGCAAATCCTCGTTCCAGGGCCTGCTTTTGGGGAAGCCAACCTAAGACACCCTGCCATCATGTGGGTTCAGGCATCTATGCTTTCTCCTGTTCTTTTAATATCTAAAAACACCTCTTATTTTGAAATCGTACCACATATACAATCTACTTTTATCCCGTTCAATATTATTTCAACTTTGTTATTAGCAGCTATATAATCTTCCACTGGTATCTGAGTTTAATAAACAATTTTGAATTGTCAAATATTTATGCTGTTGCTTTAATTTTATAAGTAATGCTGTGATGAATAATTCAGTCTTTTCCTTACTGTATCACTCTAGGATACATTCACAAAAGGCATGGACATTGTTATAACTTGAACTCTGCCAAAGTTAGACCATTTTAAAGACACTATTAATGAATAGGTGCACTAGTTTTGCCACCCCCTTACTGACACCCAATGAGAATATTATAAGTATTATGTTAACTTCTTAGGTATTACACGGTAATAACCACAGTAACATAATAACAACCATTTATTAAGCACTTCCTTTGTGTTGGGTATTTTATTAGGTGTTTTGCCAAGATTATTTTATTTAATCCTTCAAACAACCAGGTGAGATGAGTATAATCATGTGATGAGGGAACTGAAATTGAGAGATGTAAACACTTTACACGAATCTTATGGCATGGGAGTGGCCCTGCTGGGACTTGAGGTAGTGTCTGGTTCCAACTCTCTGCTCTCCTTCCATTTTCTATCTACCTTGTTGTTAATTTGTATTTCTGTTTTTGTTACTAGCTACATTAAGCATTTCCTCCACTTATTTTTTTGAAAATTATATTTCTTCTTGCATGAATTTTCTGTTTGTGTCTTGCCAGCTCATCTACTGGAGTATCAATGGTTTTTCTCACCAATTTGTGTGATCTTTTTGTATATTGTAGTTGGGAACCCTCTGTGAATAATATTTATTGAAAATATTGGTGTCTATTTCATTTTTTACATTGTATTTATTATAAATATTGAGTTGTTAGATTACTCTTTTTTCTCTACATAAGTTTTTCAAATTTGTCAAAGCATAGAATATTATTCTTCTAAAAAGCTGGTATGCTTTTCTATTTGTTACAATTTCTATGTTTAGATTTTAAAAACGTTTATTTAATCTAAATTGAGTAATATATGTGTGTATAATATATGTATGTGTATAGTCTTCTTTTGGTATATTGACCATTTTGGAGGCAGGAAGAGTAAACTGATGTAGTATAGTGTTTTAGCAAATGAATGTGGAAGTAGGATGGGGTTGTGTGAGGGGAAGTGTTAACACGTATGGAGCGTGTGCTATGTGCTCAGCGTTTTTTGTATAGTCATGGGATCTGGTTAGGAGACTTTCCTATCAACCCACCCTGAATAAGACAGGAGCCTAAAGTAGGGTCATTGCAATATGAGAAGAAAGAGGGAGCAGTCAGACAGGCTCAGATAACTGCTGCATCTCTCCTTTTCTCTTTATGCCACACATTCTGTGTCTAACACTATATCAGGTGGAGAATTTTGAGAATTCTTAGTAATTTTGGGTTTTACATAGAAAAACATTATTTTCTGGTAAGAATGGTTATATGAGCAATTCAGGTAAAAGCAGGTTAATTATTTTTTTCTGAAGAAGATTCACCCTGAGCTAACATCTGTGGCCAATCTTCCTCTTTTTGTATGTGAGCCACCACCACAGCATGGCCACCGACAGATGAGTGATGCAGGTCCATGCCTGGGAACCGAACCCAGGCTGCTGAAGCAGAGTGTGTGGAAGTTAACCACTAGGCCACTGGGGCTGGCCCAGCAGGTTAATTTTTTGGACCAATTTGTGGGTCTTTAGAAATGATTTTAGCTGATCAAGCTATAATCATGAGATTATTGTCTACTAAACCAGAGAAGTCATGTTTGCACCTATCTATTGTGACTTAAGCATTTTTATGGATTTGATGCTATCGAGAAGAGATTGTTGGAAGTAAATTATGTACTTTTGCTCTTTAGCTGTCGTCTGTAGCTGGTTGCTCATCTTCTGGTTTCTGTGATTTGTTGCAAAGGCAGTTCTTGTGGTGTTGGAAATAGGATAACAGAGTACAACCCACAAGTGGCCCTACTTAAAACCAGTCAAACTAGTTAACCCAGTTACTTTTACAGTTTGGGTGACAAAGTTTTATGATATTTGAGGAATATAAGGAAACAATATATATAATAATGGCTAACATTTGAATAGAATCTTACTGTTTACACATACTTTCACAATACATTATTTAATTTTCATAATAGCATAAGATAGAATTATCTTGAACCTGGAACCCCACTTCGGTTTCCATGTGTTACACAGGGCTGAAATTACTAGAAAAGAAGGTTTAGAATTGCCTAGTAACAAACTTCATATATAAAGGGATGTGACACAAAAGAGATTCTCCTTCTTAACTTGGAAAGAAAACACAGACAAACGGACAAACAAAAGGAGAGAGGCAGAACCTAAAAAGCAGATCTAAGGAAGAAATTCTTCATAGTGATGACAGTGTCTGAAGGAAGTTTCAGCATTTATTCTCTAGTTTAAATCTACTCTTTGGGATGATTTGTAAATACTTAAGCCTGATAGCTAGAAACTCAATAATTGACATCTCCAAATCACATGGGAGATTTTTAAAAAACTTTTTATTAAGATTATGATAGTTTACAACCTTGTGAAATTTCAGTTGTACGTTATTGTTAGTCGTGTTGTAGGTGCACCACTTCACCCTTTGTGCCCCCCCCCCCCCCCCCCCCTTTCCCCTGGTAATCACCAATCAGTTCTCTTTGTCTCTATGTTTAACTTCCACCTATGAGTGGAGTCATACAGAGTTCGTCTTTCTCTATCTGGCTTATTTCACTTAACATAATACCTTCAAGGTCCATCCATTTTGTTGTGAATGGGACGATTTTATCTTTTTTATGGCCTAGTAGTATTCCATTGTATATATATATATACACTGTATCTTCTTTATCCAATCATGTGTCAATGGGCACTTAGGTTGCTTCCACATCTTGGCTATTGTAAATAATGCTGCAATGAACATAGGGGTGCATGGGACTTTTGGAATTGCTGATTTCAAGTTCTTTGGATAGATACCCAGTAGTGGGATGGCTGGGTCATAAGGTATTTCTATTTTTAATTTTTTGAGAAATATCCAGGCTGTTTTCCATAGTGGCTGCACCAGTTTGCATTCCCACCAACAGTGTATGAGGGTTCCTTTTTCTCCACAACCTCTCCAACATTTGTCACTTTTTGTTTTGGATATTTTTGCCATTTTAACAGGTATAAGGTGATATCTTAGTGCAGTTTTGATTTGCATTTCCCTAATGATTAGTGATGATGAGCATCTTTTCATGTGCCTATTGGCCATCCGTATATATTCTTTGGAGAAATGTCTGTTCATGTCCTCTGCCCATTTTTTGATCGGGTTGTTTGATTTTTTGTTGTTGAGCTGTGTGAGTTCTTTATATATTATGGAGATTAACCCTTTGTCAGATAAATAACTTGTAAATATTTTTTCCCAATTAGTGGGTTGTTTTTTTGTTTCAATTCTGTTTTCCCTTGCCTTGAAGAAGCTCTTTAGTCTGATGAAGTCCACATGGGAGATTTTTAAGTAGTGACTCTCCACTCTTCAATGTTGATGGTGACGGTGATGAAAGTTAATGTTTACTGAGACTGTGGATCATGTATCATGCTGACAGATTGATATGAAATATATCATAATGCTCACAATAACCTGAGGAAACCAGCCCCATTACCCTCATTTTCAAACTAGGGAAGATGAAGCCTAGACAGATTGATTAACAGCCAGGAAGTCACTGGGCTGTGATTGGATATCAGATTACCTGACTGAAAAGTTTGCCTATGTAGAGATTATACTCCACTCTAGGACAGGTATTCGGGACCTCCTGGAGGAGTTGCCTGAACGAAAATATTGCTATTTAGCACTATGTTCTAACCAGGTCAGCTGCTCAGCCCAATTTCACACAATAGTCACTGGTTATTCATGTTGGCCTTCGCCAAGCAGCCTGGAGAACCTGTTATGCAGGCCATAGCGCTGAGTTCAGTTCTCCACTGGCCCACTGAGAAGTGCCTGGTGCCCTCGTGAGGCAGCACTCACGGCCAGAAGTGGGAAGGAGGGTGAGGCCACTCAGCATCAACTCTGTTATCTCAACAACTGGCTTTGCTCTGTTACTAATCATGCCTATTTTATAGATGAGAAACCTGAGGCTCAGAGAGATTTTCCTGCTTTTCTTAAATGTTTATCCTTTTAATAGCAGGAAGAGCAGGAAATGTTTTGGACTTGAAGAGGTTTCCATCAAACATAAATGGTGTGGAAGATAAAGATCTCAAGATCTCCTCCTTTGGAAAGCACCTCTGGAAACTCAATACACTCCAGAACATCCATCACTCTAGATTATTTCTTTAGGGAGTAAAAAGCTTTCTATATTTGGTTCAGTTCTAAAAATACTAGGCTCTGATAGAGAAGAGATATTTCTCTGCTGTGAAAATAAAGTTTCTTCTTTTTTCTTCTCGGAACGGTGACTTCCTTGTTTTTTGCCTTTTCAGAGAATGTGTGTTCTGTCAGCAGCTAAGAGCACAGATCTGGGTGCTGATCAAGACCCCGAAGCAGGCCTGAGAAAACGCAGAACTGAGGTAAAGAGTTCCAGGAAACACTGCAAAGGCTGTCACGATGTTCTGTGGTATTTCAAGTGCTTAGAAGAAGGTGAACCTGAGGTGACTATGAAGAAGGTAGAGGCGCAGAAGAAGGTAGTCTGAGAAATGGAAAACTCTGAAAAGAAAAATGTGAATTTTTCTTTTCAGAGTAATGTAAGGATGGCTTTTTGTTTTTTTTTTGTTAAAAAGAGGAAACGTTAGCCAACTTGAGTTTGGGTCATGCTTTGGATAAAATTGAAATCCTTTATTACGCTCTTCAAGGCTTCTCATCTGTGGCTTCACTGAGCTCACCGCCTGCCACTCTCTCCTCACGCACGGTGCTCGAGGCACACTGGCCTTCCTGCGTTTCTGCGTCCACTTGCTTTGGCCTGAGGGCCATCAGCATTTGCCATTCCCTCTGCCTGAGATGCCTTCCCTACTCTGTTCCTCTGGCGGGTCATTCTCATCCAGCAGGTCTCCCTCGAATGCCTTTGCCAGATGGCCCTGGTGAGCCTGGTGCTCCCCGCCCCAGTCTGCTGCTCTCATCCGTGGTCCTCCTCTCCTCTGGGACACGTGAGAAGATCATACTTGCCTCACACCTTGTAGTCAGGCAGGATTGTGGTACAAGTTTTGGCCAACGGGGCATAGATGAAAGTGATGTGATGGTGCAGTCTCATCAGCCTTGGTGGTACCCAGGGGTGAGAACACAGAGCAGAGCCCCGCTGAGGCATGGGGTATGGGGCATGCATAAAAGAAAAACTCCAACTGTCTTGCCTTAGGACACTGAGATTTTGGGGGTTGTTTATTATTGCAAGGTAATTACCCCATCTGGTCTAAAACACCATCCTTCTGTTTTATTTTCTTCAGAGGACCTGTCCGTCTTTGAAAGGTTTCATTTCTTTATTATTAATCTGTCTGCCCCTTCCAAACATGGCCAGGTGCATCAGTAGCACACACTACAGTAAGAGATTAGCTTTCCATTTGTCTGTGGATCCGCATCCATCTCAAACAATCTTAAACAAGTCTTTCAGAATAGCCCTTACACGGGCTCTTACACGGATCTGGTGGATAAGGAGCGACCCGTGAACAGCCCTTGCTGAAGTAAGCTGGGTGCCCAGGCCCTCGATGCTCTCCCTGCCCCAGCCCTTTCCTCTGAGAGGGAAGTGCCTAACTTGTTCTAGAAGGGTTATAAACTGAGCAGGACCAGACAGAATGTGTATTGTTTCCCGTCCCTAAGGTGGGTCTCCTCCCAACACATACACTAGGAAAGAAGAGGGTGTGTGTTTCTGGAACCTCCACAGATTCTGTTCTTTCCATTCATCACTCTATTCACCTAGATAGGACCAATACCCCCCAGGTAAGTGCAACACGGTGACCCCGACTGTTGCAGCTCCCTAGTCCTGCCTTGGATGGGAATTCAGGGTGAAAAACCTTTATGGAATGCCTCCATTAGAAAATGAAGGGATTGTGCTGCATCGGCAGTTTCCAGACGGCGTCCCCTGAGGTGCCGTGGGGCTTCACAAGGGGAGCGGCGGGCATCTATTGCAAAACGACCTTCATCTCTCTTTCCCTCGCTTGCTCGCTCTTCAACCAAAGCATCTCTGTTGGTTTAATCTGTTTTATACATTTTGAGGGGTCTGTATAGTTTTCATTTGAAAAGGGATTTATTATTTTTAAAAAAATTTCAAAAAAATTGGACTAGATATTTCTAAAACCCCTTCTGCTTCTAATGTTCTAGGAATCTAGGAGCCTAGTATGGTCAAGGTACTGGCTGGGCACGGGGCACAGTGGGCCACCTGGAAGTGAGGAAGACATCACCGCTGACCTTCCAGGAACTGACTGTAGCAGAAGAAAGATACTCTTACATGAATAATATCAGGATATGAGTAAAGGTGGGGGAAGGAGGGAGGAGAGCAGAGAACCAAGTGTGGAATGTCGATGAAAGTCACCACCAAATGCAAACCCTACTCTTGTGGGCCCTTCCCAACCCCATCCCAGCAGCATGGTTGACGATGGGGAACCTTCTCCAAGTCTGGACACAGGCCCTGACTGCTTCCAAACTGACTTTGGTACCCCAGTTCCCCAGTACTGACCTTCTGGCTTTGTTTTTGTTTTTCATTCATGAGACTTTTTGTCTGATATATTCCATGTCCTTAGCAATCTTATTTCTTATCAAAAATGTTGGTAACACATATCTTGGCAATTTCAATTAGAAGTTAAATACTATGAAGACATAAAATTTACTCCAATGTTAGTAACTTCAGAGATGGGAAATGTTGACAGCTATGGCATATCAAATTTATAGATTTCAGTGTCACTGGCCACCCTGCCACCTGTGACCACATGGATATGAAGGTGTTGCCGTGTCTTATTTTAGCAGAGTGGTCCAACTCTCCATGCTTCCAGTGCAGGCTCTGCCACGAACTGCCTTGGGATTTCAGGCTATTTCATTTCTCTTGGCTTCAGTTTCTTCTGTGCACAGAAAAGTTAGACCTTATTATATTATTGTATTTTAATCTTTCTCTTCTTTTTGGTCATGCATTTATTTATTTAAATTTCTAATTTTTAATAAAGACAATATGTTCATAGGCCTTAAAATCTAAATGGTACCCACACATATACAGTCAGGCTTCTTGCTCCCACTCCTGTCTTCTGTTTGATCTCCACCCCTTCCCATAGGTAACTATTTTTATTAGTCTTTTTGGGTCTTCTTCCAGAAATTCTTCTTGCAGCCAGTCTGATAACAAATATGTTGTCCCCCTTGTTCTTAATACGACAGGAGCACATTGTATGTATCCTCTGTACCTAAAAATCTACCTTTTCTATAGATAGAATATGCCTTCATTCTTGTACAGCTGGTTAGCATTCCATTTTATTGATATAGTTTAATGTTTTTGGCTAATCTGCTAATGATAGCTGTATGGATTGCTTATCTTTTTCTATTATAACTATGTTGTGATAAATAATCTTGTGCATATGTCATTTCTAATGTGTGCAAATAAAACTGAGAATAAATTCCTAAAAGTGGGATTGCTAGGTCAAAGGGTGTACACCCTTCGTAAATTTGATAGCTATTGTCAAATTGCCCTCCATAGGCATTGCACTACCTGACCCTTCCGCTAGGAATGTATGAAAGTGCCTGTTTCTCCACAGCCTCACCATCAGAATGTGGCATCAAACTCTTGAATTCATGCTAATCTATTAGCTTAGATATGGTATTTCAATGCAATTTTTATTTGCATTTCTCTCTTTATGATTCAGGTTAATCATCTTTTAAACATTCAAGAACTCTTTGTAATTTTAAGAATCTGTTCTTGAGCCTGAGTTTTCTCATAGGCTTATGGCAAAACAACGCTCCTCTGGTTTATCCACAGCTTCATCAAGCCACATCCCCAAACTATGGATGCCCACAGTGTTCTCTCTAGCCTTCTCATTGATTTTACACTGGGAAACACTCCTAGCCTATCCTTCATCTTCCCCTGTTCATTTCTTTTTATGTCAACATTATGCTTTCCTTTGTATGGAATTGCTTTCCAGTAGGAACTCTCGTAGCCAAAGCACTTGCTGATACATTCACTAGGATTACCTCATTGCTACACAATTCCCTACGGTCTCATTAAGTATAAAAATCAAAAACAAAAGAACAAGGAACAACAACCAAAAACTAGACCTTTCCCTCTTTGTGTTCAAATCCAAGAAGACTGGATATTCTTTCACTGAAGAGAGAGTGATCAGTGTCATCAACATGTGGAATTTTCTTGTGATTTTGGCCTGACAGGACTATTTGTACATAGATACCGTGTAAAGTCATATTTGTATCCAGATGCTAATTCGAGGCGGAGACCGAGAGGGACTTGGCAAAGAGGATGATATGTGAGGGTTCTTGGCAAATATGAAAGCGTGTAGAAAGAGATTGTGGGGTGTGGTAGCATCTGATCTCTACATCCTGATGCATCCATCAACTTTGTTGCTTTTAAAGTATCTGGGTTATAGTATTGGACATGGCACAGCGTCTATATCCTCTGGCTGAGGGCTTTCAAAGACAAAGCACAGCACCTCAGCTTTCCTTACGCATAGTAAGCCCCCAAGCACATTATCTAGATAGTCACCAGCATAATGCAGATAATTTTGACAGGATGGATGTGACCCAGGGTTGGCTTCATGGGTGTGTGAACTGTGCAACTGCATAGAGCCCTGTACTCAAAGGGCCTCATGCTTGGTTAATGCTCTGCTGTCACCATAGTGAAATTCTTAATAATTTTTGACCAAGGGGGCTGGTCTCTCATTTTTATTCTGACTGAGTCCCACAAATTATGTAGCTGCTCCTGAAGTTAAATTGCCTGGTAAATCAAGTCTGTTTGTAGAGCAGAGTCCAAGGGATTAGTATTATGAAACATCTGTAAATATCCTTCCTTCTATTAAGGTAATTGACACTTCTGTTTGTAAATTTTGGTTGGAAGTGATACCTCTATCATCGGTTTCGACAGAAAACAATGTGTATTTATTTTAATCTTTCATACCCTACTTTAAAGAGCAGACCAGATACAGCCATGAAGTGCAAAAGGATGAGTGAAATATTTTCCCTGTGCTCCTGTGAGTCAAGACAGAGAACACCACTAAAATCTATTTGAAAATTGTACTAAGAGTAGCCATTTCCTTCCCCCATAGACATGCTATGTCTCATTCCCACATATAAATTTAAGTTTAAAATCTTAATTCAAGTTACTTGCAAAGAAGACATCCAAAAAGACTTGAAGATTCAAATATGCCTCTTGGGACCTAGAGTTTTAACCATTGTTTGATAAGTGGTTACAAAATAATCCAATACTAAAATAACCTTCCAAATTAAGATACTCAAAAGTTTGACCTGAAGATATTCTAAATAATTTCATTCCCTTCTTTGAGTCTACAAATTTAAGAAGAAAGTGAGTAATCTGCATTCAGAGGGTAAAACTCAAGGCAAGCATGTATTGTTCTGGGTTGGGATGAAAAAACAAACA